CGCGGCCCGACCTGCTGCCGGGCTGGACGGTCCGCACGGTGCTGGGCAGCAGCGAGAACGCGCGGGGCGTCTGCTCTGACACCGCCGCGCCCCTGGCCGCGGTGGACCTCAAGTGGGAGCACGACCCCGCCGTGTTCCTGGGCCCCGGCTGCGTGTACGCCGCCGCCCCGGTGGGGCGCTTCACCGCGCACTGGCGGGTGCCCCTGCTGACGGCGGGCGCCCCGGCGCTGGGCTTCGGGGCCAAAGACGAGTTCGCGCTCACCACGCGCGCGGGCCCCAGCTACACCAAGCTGGGCGACTTCGTGGCGGCGCTGCACCGACGGCTGGGCTGGGAGCATCAGGCGCTGGTGCTCTACGCCTACCGGCCCGGCGACGACAAGCGCTGTTTCTTCGTGGTGGAGGGGCTGTACGTGCGGGTCCACGACCGCCTCAACATCACCGTGGACCACCTGGAGTTCGCCGAGGGCAACCACGAGCACTACGCCATGCTGCTGCGGACCGTGCCGCGCAAAGGCCGGGGTGAGACGCGCGCGCCCAGTCCCTCGGACCCGCGGGAGGCGCCAGCACTTCCTCGCTTCTCCTCCCGGCCCAGCTTCTTCCTTCTCCTCGCTGCTCTGCATTCGTGTCTCAGCCTTCGCGGCCATTCCTACCTCTGCGTGTCTATTTCCCTCTCTTTGTCTCCTCCCACGACCCCCGCGTCTCTTCGCGCTCCTGCCCTCTCACCTCCCCGACTCCCCCCACCCCCTGCGTCCCAAGCGTTCTTCTGGAGCTAACAGGAGCCAGAGAATGCCTGTGCCACCCTAGCATAGCTTAGCTCTGGTCTCTTTTTTTTCTCCCGCATTTTCTCTCTTCCCTGCAGCCTTCTCTTCTCCTCCATCTCCTCCCAAGGCTCCCACACACACTATCCTCTCCCATCCCCTCTCCCGCTGGCCTCCTCCCTCTCTCTGCCTCCCCTCCAGGTCTCACCATCCCCACTTTCGACTCCTCTCTCTTCTCCACCCTCTCCCTCTCTCTTCCACCCTCCCCACTTCTGCCCTCCACACCTCCTCCTCCCCAGCCTTCATTTTTCTCCTGCCACGGCCTAGACTGAACCAGACTGAGCCAGGAGTTGCCACTTAACTCTCATCAGTCTCTCCTGCCCTGCCTCTCTAAACTTCCTTCCCGGGGTCCCCAGCTTTCCTACCCAAGTCCCCAAGTCCCTAGGCTTCTCTCTCTGACACCTCCTTTCCCTCCAGTTATCTACATCTGCAGCTCCCCAGATGCCTTCAGAACCTTGATGCTCCTGGCCCTGGAAGCTGGCTTGAGCGGGGGTGACTACGTTTTCTTCCACCTGGATGTCTTTGGGCAAAGCCTGCAAGATGCACAAGGCCTTGCTCCCCGCAGGCCCTGGGAGAGAGGGGATGGGCAAGATTCCAGGGCTCATGAGGCCTATCAGGTGAGTATCCAGGTTTGAAGCCCAAGCGGTGGGAGTCTGAGCTGGCGGCACATTGTTTCTGGGCACTGTGTCCCTCAGTGTCCTAAAGGATTCCAGAAAAGAGGTTGTGGGTGTTCACAGGGTGTTAGATGGTGAAGGGCAGGGGCTGGCCAGGACTTTAGAGCCAGGAGACTGAAAAGATAAGAGCACGGGCTTGAGGTGGGAGGAGGCTGAGTACCACACACTGAACAGAACTTGGCAAAGCCATCCCATTGGGTTCCCTGAGCAGGCACCGCCTCATGCAGGACAGAGAGTCCAGTCTGACCTTGAGTTAAGAAGAGATGAAGCTCTGGGGAGTGGGCTTCCAGATGACTGAGAACCCACAGTGTTGGGAGGGCAGGAGTCAGCTCCTAACTCTCCCTCCTCTACTGACCCCTTCCTCAGGCTGCCAAAATCATTACATATAAAGAACCGGATAACCCCGAGTACCTGGAATTCCTGAAGCAGCTAAAACACTTGGCCCATGAGCAGTTCAATTTCACGGTGGAAGATGGCCTGGTAGGAGGGGATCCTGGGACCCTCCAGCGTGGACTTCCAGCCCCCACTTCATGACCCCCTGCCAGTCTCCATCCTGTTCTGTCAGCCATGCATCCCAGTATCCCCAGGTCTCCCCTCTCCCCTCCCATTGTTCCCACATCTCTCCTGATGATGGAAGGGGATGCTGGCAAGTTCACCTCTTAAACTCGGGTCTTTGTCAGTCAAATGGAGATGATACATCCCTCTGCCCTACCTGCCTAGCAGGATCCAGCGAGTAGGGACACATGGGGAGGCATCATCTAAGTCGTAAAATCTCTCTGCGATGTGGGGTGTTTTTTTCTCCCATCCTCGGCCAGGCTCCCAGCACCTCCCATTCCCTCACCCCAGCACCTCACTCTGTTCCCTTCTCGCGTCCCACCCCAGCCGAGCCCTGCTTGCCCTTCAGGTGAACACCATCCCCGCATCCTTCCACGACGGGCTCCTGCTCTATATCCAGGCAGTTACGGAGACTCTGGCACATGGGGGGACTGTCACGGATGGGGAGGACATCACTCGGCGGATGTGGAACCGAAGCTTCCAAGGTCAGGGCCTGGAGGTGGCTGGAGTGGGCTGCCCTGGGGGTGGGCCCCAGGTGCTCAGCGGGAAGCTGCGAGAAGCCTGTAGCGCTGCAGCACCAGTAGGTCCTCGGGCAGGCCAGTCTCTTCCTTCCACGAGGAGCCTCCACAGCTTCCTTCAGGCCCTTTCCCTCAGGAGTCTCCCTAAGTGTACAACCTCCATCATTCCTACTGGGCACTGTATCCCTCAGTGTCTGAAAGGATTCCAGAAAAGAAGTTTCATATGCTCATGGGAGAGTTAGGCAATGAAGGGCAGGGGGCTGGTGGGGGTGGGGGAGGAGGGTTTCAGAGCCAGGAGGCTGAAGAGAGAAGAGGATGGGCCTGAGGTGGGAGTCTT